TGGCCCCGCCCTGGGAGGGGCTGGCCCCGGGGCCCCCCGGGCTGCAGTAACCGGACTTTGGGGGTCTGACCCCCTTCTGAGTGGACTTTCCAGGTGAAAACCAGACACCTGCTCTCCCCAGGCACAAGCCCTGCCCGCTAGCGCAGCAGCCGGTGGGATTGGGGGGCACCCCGGCACGTCTGCCGAATCCGGCCACAGCCCGACGGGGGAGGGGTAGCACTGGGTAGGACTGGCCTGCGTAATGGGCCCTCCCGCTGCGTGTCCCTGGCGTGAGGCTGCTCGGGGCGTTTGCAAGGGGCTAGCGAATGGCTGGGGTGGCTTGCGGGGAGGCCTCGGGAGCTCCGGATGAGAGTTTGGAGAGCAGGGCTGCAGTCCCCTTTGCACCACTGGGGTGGCATTGGGCAAGTCGTGTCACCGTCCTGTGCCTCAGTTTCCCCCTCTGTACAATGGGGTGGCAGGCGCCCGTGCACAGAGCTTTCAGACCTACGAGCGCCGGCGCTAGGTCAGAGCTGGGTGTTGTCATGGTGACCACAGTGATGGGGGAATTCTTGACCCGGGGATAGGTCCAGTCCCTGCTACACTGAAGGACGGAAGGTGCGACGTAATGAGACGATCCCCCACCCCCCCATTTGTGGTGCCTTGTGGCTTTGTGGGGTGCAGGCTCTTTGGGGAAGGGCTTGTCTTTTTGTCCCGTTCGTACAGCGCCTAGCGCAACAGGCCCTGGCCCGTCTCCTTAGACACTATGGCGGGGGGGCCAGAACAACCCCCCCAAGCCATTTGGTCCAGCCCCCGGCCCACGCTGCCCTCCTCCGCCCCCGGCCAATCGGGAGTCAAAACGGTGGGCGGTTCCCTCCAGGCATTGCCCTAACAGGGCGGGAGACTTCACGTGTCCCCCGCCCCCAGGTCCCGATGTGGGGAGCGGCCACATCAGTGGGGATTTTTTTTCTTACTTGTGTGCGGCCCCCGACTGCTTTGTCTGTGGGTCAGCGGCCCCCCGGCCACTGGCAGCCAGAGACGAGCCACCTGGGGGGGAGACAGAGACGAGCCACCTGGGGGAGAGCAGCGCAACGGGAAAGCGGCCGCAGCCGTACAACGGTGCAAAGTCCGTCTATCAGGTGCCTAGTCGCACTGGGGGCTTGGCCGGGTTGAAAGCCCGAGGGGGGGTCCAGGGCCTAGCAACATCCCCCAGGGTCCTAAGCGTGGGACTCAGGCCGCACCCCTGCCACAGTCTCTGCTGCACCTCCACCCCACCCCGCTCCGAGTAGGGTTGCCAGGAGTCCGGTTTTCGCCCAGACTGTCCGTTATTCGGGGCCGGGTGAGCAGAGAGGCGGAGGATTCTGAACCTCACAGGTGTTTGTGTCCCCCCCCAGGTCCAGGCGGAAGGAGAAGGGCGCTGGGGCGCTGTGGGCGGCTGGGCTCCATCGCGGCGCTGAGGTACGCGGTGGTCGGACTCTACTTGCTGGTGTTCCTGATCCTCGTCGGCGTTTTCATCCTGGCAGGTAACGGCGCCGCTCGCCCGGCTCCCTCTCCGGGGAGGGGATGGGGATGCAGCTCCCGAAGCGGCTCATGGTTGGGTACCGTCTGCCTGAGCTCACAGCAGCATGAGGGAGGTTCTAACAGCCAGGCTCCGGCTCAAACAGGGACTTTTCCAGGAGCAGGACCGGGACCAGGGTGGGATGGGAGGAGCACCGGGGTGCCTTCACACATACACAGAGGGAAGCTTCAGGGGGCAGCCGGGTTCGTCTGTAGCTGGAAAAACTTAAAAACCAACAAATAGCCCTGCAGCACCTTAAAGACTAACAAGACATGTAGCTGGTCTCATGAGCTTTCGTGGGCACAGCCCACTGCTTCAGATGACTAGAGTATTAGAAGTCCAGATCCAAGAATAAATAAGGGAAGGTGGGCAGGGAGTGGGGGGAAAAGAGAAAAAAATAGTGAATTGGATTGTTCATGTTACAAGAGGCCAATAAGAACAATTTGCGCCTCTATAAGTACCTATTGCTTGGTTGGTTGGTTAAGTCATTAGTACGTGGAAGGTCCTGTGGGAACGAAATGATATCTCTATTTATTCCTCCCTGATAAGAATCAAACTTGTAAATCAAGTTGGCTACGTCTACACTGGCCCCTTTTCCGGAAGGGGCATGTAAATTTCATGAGTCGTAGTAGGGAAATGCGCGGGGGATTTAAATATCCCCCGCGGCATTTAAATAAAATAAAAATGTCCGACGCTTTTTTCCGGCTTTTAAAAAAGCCGGAAAAGAGCGTCTACACTGGCCCCGATCCTCCGGAAAAAGTGCCCTTTTCCAGAGGATCTTATTCCTACTTTGAAATTTACATGCCCCTTCCGGAAAAGGGGCCAGTGTAGACGTAGCCGTTAAGTTCCAACCTCCGAAACTGGGAAAACTTAAACCAACGGGAAGCGACTGTCTAGGAAGGAGTCCTGCAGAAAGGGATCGAGGGTCAGAGTGGACCCCAAGCTAAATATGAGCCAACAGTGTGATCCTTGCAAAAAAAAAAAAAAAAAAAAAAAAACCAAGTATTTCAGGAAACCACGTGATTCTGGAAGGCAGTAACAGGAATGTTGTGAGCAAGACACGAAGGGTAAGTCTACACTGCGGCCCTATTTTGCAATACTTCCAGTATCCTGAAATAGATATTCCGCGTCTTCTGATAAGCCCTTTGTTTTATCCCTGTAAGCCTCATTCCACAAGGAGTAAAGGACGTTTTCGAAGAGCAGGTTATTTCGAAATTTGGTGCTTTGTAGACGGCACCAAATTACAAAATAAGCTATTTCACAATTAACTTGAAATAATTTTGAAGCTTATTCCAAGCTTAGGGTGTAGTGTAGACTCACCCGAGAAGTCATTCTTCCACTCTACTTTGCACTGATCGGGCCTCAGTTGGAGTATTATGTGGAGTTCTGGGCACCACATTTCAGAAAAGATGTGGAGAAATTGGAGAGGGTCCAGAGAAGAGCAACAAACATGATGAAAGGTCTAGAGAACATGAGCAATGAGGCAAGGCTGAAAGAATTGGGTTGTTTAGTTTGGAAAAGAGAAGACCGAGAGGGGACATGAGAGCGCTTTATTATTTAAGATCCAAGCATTTTAAAGGGTGCCACAAGGAGGAGGGAGAAAAATTGTTCCCCTTGGCTTCTGAGGACAGGACAAGAAGCAATGGGCTTAAACTGCAGCAAGGGAGGTTGAGATTGGACCTTAGAAAAAACTTCCTGCTGTCAGGGTGTTGAAGCACTGGAATAAGTTGCCTGGGGCGGTTGTGGAACCTCCATCCCTGGAGATATTGAAGAGCAGTTTGGACAAACACCTGCCAGGGATGTCTAGAGCAGTGTTTCTCAACCTTTTTTTTTAATAAAGTACCCCGTTTAAAAACAATGTACCCCCCATACCTACAGTTTTCAGATACAAAACAATTTTTTCTACCATTGCAACACATTTGTTTAAACAACTTAATCGTAGCCAGGCGGGTGATGAAATTTTTGGGTGTCAAAATTACAAAAATAATAAAGCGCTGTAAAACTTAAAACAAACATTCCGTTTTCTCCAAATTTCAGTTGTGTTGACGCACCCCCCAGACTTCTCTCCAGTACCCCTAAGGGACTCGTACCACTGGATGAGACACACTGCTCTAGCCGGTGCTTGGTCCTGACGTGAGGGCAGGGGGCTGGATTCGATGACCGCGCGAGGGTCCTTCCAGTGCTAGTGTGCTATGAGTCTGTGATTGGGAATCTCACACACACCAAGTCCCGGGTCCCTCTGACACCAGTACCCAGCGGGGGCTGCCCTCCGTGTGTCTCTCTCCCGCTGCATCGTCACACGGGGCAGCCCTCGGCCCCCACACCTGGGCCCTGCCTTTCGCGACCACACCTGGGCCTGGTCGGGTGACGGGCTGCTGACAACTAGGGGCGATTGCTGACCCTACCCCTGGCTGGCTGCCTCCTCTTGGGCTCATCACTTTGAAAAAAAAAAAGAGGTCGCCATTTGCCTCAGTTTCCCCATCTTCCTCGGCAGGGGATA